TTCTTTCAGCAATACTATGACTACAGAAAGGCCTGTTACAAAATGTGTGTCTTTGTAGCAGGAAAGAGACTTGGGGTGCAAGTGCAAAGAGATAAAAGCACAGATTGATCAGCTCTGAATTGATAACCAGGAAATGGGATGAGTTTGCTTTAGCGCAGAGCACACAGGAGTCAGGAGAGAGAGAGAGAGGCAACCAGCCCCAGTTTGCAGCTTTTCAAACCTTTTTTTTGGCTATAGCCATAAACACAATATGAAAGAAATAGAGGCCGAATCAGGATTGTATAAGCTGACTAAAAAACCTTATAAGATGATGTATGAAGGATTGGTTCCAGTCTGTGTCCTCATTCAAATGTGCTAGCCCACCCCCCTCCCGAGGGGCCATATGGTCCTTGTTGAGAATGGCTGTTCTAGTGCATCAGAGTGAGCTCCAAGCCTTAAGAATAAATTTGAAAAACTGTTTGGAGGCAACAGGAGCTCAGATGAGGGAAACAAGTGCCCCTTTGCTTCCTCTCTCCCCACCTTGAACTAGGGAGCTGGGAGAGCCAGTTTCTAATTGTTCATTCAGCCTTCAAGCTCAAGGAATTACACCACTTGAACCAATATGAAAGTATTTGTTTTTCTTTTTTAAGTAGAAGCCCCAGCAGTGGAGGAAAAAAGTAAGGAATAGGTGGAGGAAATCCAGGCTGATTTGCATCAACTTGTATGTTGTGTAGTCAATGGAAAATAATACGAATGTGACCATCCCAGTCTTGGAACATTTCCTGTGTCATTTGTTAATGTAATCAGCTCCTTATTCCCATCTTTCTATGCATGGTTGCAGAGGCAGCACCTCCATGGTAAAGCTAGGCTCTGAACAAGTCTATGTCTGTTAGTGCAAAAGACTGTTCTGAATAAAGCGTGCACTGGATTACAGCCAAAGTCTAGTAAAAGAAATAAGAATGAATAGCATTGGGCAGAGAGATTTTTTTTAAAGCCTCTTATTTTGAATTGTAATTTGCTTACAAGGTATCTTAGCTCAGGTTAGCTCTGAAATGCAGTTGTGCAGGATCAAATCGGAACTTGTCCAGTCTGTGTTGCTTGAATATCTCTGGACATCGTATTATTGTATTGTGTTGATTTTGCTGTTAATGTTTAATTCTTGTGGGGGGGTTTTTTGGTCACAGCTTTAGCTGTTGCTTGACAACAGGCGAGGTGAATAGTCAGTTTTTACTTTTATTTTAGTAGTACAAGGTTTGTAGTTTGCATAGAAGCCTGAGTGAATTAAAATACAGAAATTACCAATATATTCCATCTCCAGCTTATAAAATGGGTTTGTTGTTAAAGATAGTCAATTAAAAACATGATTGTGTTTTTCTTATTAAATAACTTTAGCCTGAAGCCAATGTTATGTGTAATTAAAGAGGGGAAATAGTTTCCTGTGCATTGGGAAAACATGTAACAGAGGTAGAGGACCCCTGTGTAGCTTTCTGTGAGCAGGACACTGCAAAAATGGGAATACCAATCA